CTGGGAAGGTACATGAAAGAACTTTTTGTGATGATGGTAATGGTAATGTTCTATATCCTGATAGGGATATGGGTTACACAGGTATGAACCTATCCAAACTAAGGGAATGGTATACATAAGATCTGTACATTTTACTACATAAAAACTTTACCGAAAAAACAAACAGTAATAGGGAAGCTGAAGTGTCTAGGTGTAAAGTATACTTACTTTGAAATATAAGAAAAACACAAGATTGATGAATGGAAGAGGAACAAATAGGTGGTAAAGTAGATTAATTACAGAATCTAGGTGATAGGTATTTAGGTTCTCAACATACAAACAATTCTTTCAATTTTTCTGTGACTAAAATTTTTTTTACTTTAAAAATGTTAGAGATTACCTGGATATGTTGTATAGAAAAAAAAAAAAAATGTTAGAGAAAAAAAAAAGCAGAGACCAGAAATGAAGGCTGTGAGAGGCTTGTGTATTTCCCAAGTTCACCAATTAAAGAAAAGGATTGACTTGGAAAAAAAAAAAAAAAGTAAGTAAATACATGCCTGAGAGTGGAAAGAAAAGGAGAACAAATATTTGTACTGTCCCTCTTTTCTCCACCTCTAATTTTAGGCTGCCTACACTAGTTCTGACCTTGAGCAATTGTTCTTGTCTCAAAGAAAGTACTAGCTTTTACTAAACTCCATTCATTCTAGGACAGTCCAAAACTAAAAATTAATGGAAATTCTAATACCTTCTTACACCATTAGGTAAGACCTCTGGCATACCATTGTCCTCTTGGCCCAATTCTAGCCTCTCAGACCCACGGTCCTCCATGGCAAAGGAATGTTCAAACAAAGGTTAACCGTCCTTACAACAAAGACCTTTTACCAGGCTGAGTACCTGGCATGGAGGTACTCAAAAATGTTGGATGAATGAAACATCCAACCTGATGTTGGATGCCTGATAATAATGCAATAACCACACTTATTTAGCACTTAGTTTCACATTTATATCTACACTGTGATGAGGGCGGGAAATATACATAGGTTTCTGAAGTTGAATACCTAAAAAGGGACAATCGAGAGCCTTTTCTGTGGAGCACTAACTAGAAAATAGAGTTGGAAATGAAAGGTTGATAAGTTTTTAGCTAACACTAAGAAACATCTACATTTTAATTATTAATGCTCTCCTAGATAATACAATATGTTCATCAGCTTCAAAACACCATAAGCATTAACTAAAGAGAAGACAAATTATGCAAACATAAGAATTGACAGGAATTCAATTTCCAGATGACCTAAATGCATTTGAAGTTAATCTGCTCTTTTTTGTTTTTGTTGCTTCCAAATGACTGCAGATTATGCACTTGCTGAATTTTGCCTTTGTCACACATGACCTAACAAGGAAGGCATTCATCATACCATAGGAGCTTCCCCAAAAGTATCTGGTTCTAAACAGCTGCAAATTTTGGAAGATAACACTAAATGATGTCTCTAAAGATAAGTACGTTCTCTCCCCAACAAATATTAAGATTAAAGTTTAATAGAATATAAAAACTGTCAAATTAAACTAGCTGAGTATAAATTAAGTTTAGAAAATAAAGTAGAAAATGTTATAAGAATTCTATGTTGTGTTACCAAAACAATTTGATCCAATAAACATATCCTAAAGAATTTCTAAAACACAGCATTCTCATTCTTCATGACATTTGCTTTTATACCTCAGAAAGATGCCACATCACTAATGACTGGTTAATTTAGTCCCTTCAAATGCTGTAAGTGAATGAAATGACAAAATGTCTTAAAATATCAATAATAAGCCTAATTCTCAAATCAATTTCCATAAAACCATTTATAAGTAAAAGCTGCTTCCCAGACCCAAAAATGGAAAGCATGGGTGAAAAACATACTGCCAAAAGTTGAAACAGACAGTAAAAATGTTTCATACAAGTTATGGCTTGTTAAATAGTTATTCAACAATACCCGAAAGCTGTTTTTTTTTTATACCTGTCATTGTCCCTCAGTCACATCAGAATACACTAAATTCACATTTATTTGCCACCTAATAACTCATTTTCCATAAGCAAAATAAAGGGGAAAAAATGCACTGCCAAGGATCAGCTATCTTATTAATATCACCTGTAGGTCTTTCAACTCACCCTTTAGTTTCACTTTCATCCTTTCCTATTGAAGCTAGCACACCTAATTTAAACAGCCAGGTATCCTGCCCCACAACAGCTAGTACTTTGAAAAGACACATGCTTGCATCTGCATGGACTAGATAAAAAAAAAAAAAAAAAAAAAAAAGAAAAGACACATGCAAGTGTCCTTTTTGTACCTCCTTCAATTTCATTACATACTATTTTGCCAAGGTCCTTTCATCTTAAAGAGTTGATTGATTAACATCCCAAATATCAGCAGTTTCTCATTAATTCAGGTACCTATCAGTCTTTTCAAAAGCTCAACTTTCATCTTTACAGCTTTCAATCAACAATGTCACCATACAATTCCCAATTTCTTAAAAGGAAAAAAAAAAAAAGAATAACTGTCAGTAGTACACATAATGCTGTCGAATTCCCAAGACTAGTGAGGATCAAAATAAGACTTACAGAAAACCCTTGTTACACGAACTTCCAATCAAGTCTAATATCGATAAATTTTTTATTTCATTTCCTGCAATAATGGGCATAACTTCCATCTGCACATTGATAGAAAATCCTAGAGACAGTATCTTATTAATCAACTTTAAAGGAGAAAAATCCTACAAGTCAAGGTCAGTGAGAAAGGATTGAGGACTCTTAGCCAAACGCCAACTGAAGACACCAAATGCAATTATAGCTTCGAATTTTAAGCCATCTACCTTCTGAACTAGATGCTATTTGCATAATTCAACAGAGAATAAGAAATGAAGTATTGATATAATGGAATACCTGAAGAGGGTCAGTATAGCAAGTGACTAGCTTCTCTCCCAGCCTATGCCTTTTGAAAGCTTTGGAAGAAAAATAATATTCATACACAAATCACTTTCTAAAACTCCTGTAATTTCATATTTCAAACCACTATAGACAAAATTTTAGTTACCTCTACCAACAAGCAGTCCCGGGATATGTTATTATATTAAGTTATAGCCCAGTCTCAGCAAGAAAGCAAGAAAAAGGCTTGTTGCTGAGCTCTAAGCCATAGAAAACCCTCAATTATCCATGGTAGCACAGGGTGGGGCAGGGACAACCTGGATCAATTAAATGCTGGATAAATAAAATTCTCAGGGGCTGGGCCCTGTGCCTCATGCCTGTAATCCTAGCACTCTGGGAGGCCGAGGTGGGAGGATCATTCAAGGTCAGGAGTTCCAGACTAGCTGAGAGAGAGAGAACCCACTTTACAAAAAAAAAAAAAAAAAAATAGAAAAATTAATGCCAACTAAATATACAAAAAAAAATTAGCCGGCATGGTGGCGCATGCCTGAGTCCCGCTACTCGGAAGGCTGAGACAACAGGATCGCTTGAGCCCAGGAGGTTGAGGTTGCTGTAAGCTAGTGACGCACGCGCACACTAGCCCGGACAACAGTGAGACTCGTCTCAAAAAAAAATAAAATAAAATTCTCAGGTAATTATTATTTAAGAAGAATGATGGGATTAATATTCAAATCCCCTCCCCTTTACAATACAAAAAGATCGTTCAGGGCAACCACAGTCCATCTCTGTAATCCTAGCACTCTGGGAGGCCAAGGCAGGAGAATCGCTTGAGGTCAGGAGTTTGAGACAGCCTGAGCAAGAGCAATCCCCTCTCTCTATGAAAACAGAAAAAATTAGGCAGGCGGGGTGCGCGCACCTGTAGTCTCTCAGTAGTCTCTCAGCTACTCAGGCGGCTGAGGCAGGAGGATCGCTTGAGCCCTGGAGTCTGAGGTTGCAGTAACTAAGATGATGCCTCTGCACTCTACCCAGGGTGACAGAGACCTGCCTCAAAATAATAAAAATGAAAATAAAAATTCATTTAAACCGACTCTCTCCTCCTGGCCATCTGCTAACAAAAATGCTGTAACGATAACGTCTAACATACACAATAAAAGGAAAGCAAATCGAATTAAATAACAGCATGGTTCTATTTTTTTTTTAATCTGCTCACAAGCCATCGAACTGAGTTCAGCTTCATGAAAGGCATTTATATTAAACACCACCCCCTAAGCCTCCTACCTTGATTTAGATCTTTCTAAATCAAATGTGTCTCACATTTAACTGCAATAATGGTGCCTGTTTAAAATGAGGTTAAAGACCTTGATAGCTATTGCATTAAATGTAAAACGCTGGTATCAAACAACTTCGATTCAAATCCGCTGCCCCTAGGCTTGATAGAGACTGAACTTCCTTTTCCTCCCAGCCGTCCTCCTGGCCCTTCCGCGCGCTCAGGTCGCCGCCCGGGCCTGCAGTGACACCTCGGCCCATCTCCTGGAAACCCCTGACGTCACAGACACGCGGACCCACGATTATTATGACTAATCGCGGACCGGAGCCGAACGCAGTCGACTCGCGCCAGCCGAGGCCAGGAAGCATCCGAGCCTCCGTCCTGCCCCTCCCCGAGGAAGGTTAAGGACAAGCGCCAGCTCACCTGCGCCGGGGCAGGCACGGACGAGAAGGCCGGGACACGGCGAGGCGACCCACCCAGGCCGACTCCTCGCCCGCGCGGTGCCGCGGGTAGGAGCGGCGGTCCGGTGCCTGCTCTCGGCCTAACCGAATCTCCTCCGCTTCAGCCCCGACCCGGGACCCCGCTCCGCCCGCCCGCGGACCCCGTGGCCCGGAGACGCGCAGCGCCGACGCGTGCGTGGGCGAGGCAGCAGGAGGCGCGGCCGCCGGGTCCCCGCTCGCACGCGCCGGGCGGCCCGAGCCCCGGACCTGCGCAGCGCCCGCCCCCGCCCCACCCTCGCGCGCCCGGGAGCGCAGGCGGGCGGGAGGGGGCGGGGAGCGGCCACGGTGGCCGCCGCGGGACCCCAGCCGCGCCGCCCTCCCGCCACGCCCCACTCCTGCCCCGACCCACCTGCGCTCCTGCCCCGGCTGGGGCCTGGCCCGGGGCTGCACCAGCCCGAGGCGGTGGCGGCGGCGGCGGGAGGCCTGGCTCGCTCCCCACGGCTGAGGCGGACCGAGCACCCAGCGCTGCGCGGCGGAGCCCAACGCTCGCCCCGAAACCCATTTGTTTGGCTAAAACGGCGTGACGTCACGCGCCGGCCCAATCGACGGTTGGCCGGGGGGCGGGGCCGGCAACCAGGGGTGGCAGCGCCCCCTGCGGGACGCTGGCGGCGAAAATGAAAAGGGAGATCGGGAGGGAGCGTCTCAGGTCGCGGTGAGACAGAGAGATAGAGCTTGAGCGTGACTGCAGGGAAGGGACTCAAACCCACAGGCCAGTCAGGATGGGAGTGACGCCAGGGTGCAGTCAACAGACCCGACAAGTGTATTAATTCTCAGGCTTGACCCGAAGCTATAAATGCTATTAGATGCTGTTCGACAGCCTAGCGGACTCGGGTCCCAGTCTTGGTTCTCCTACTCTCGTGGAGGGCTGAGGGCTGAGCGTCAGAGTTCCAGTCTGTAAACTGAAGAGGCTGGAAGAGTCCCTTCTGACTCTCATGCCTTTCCATGCAATCGTGTCAGGAATGCCTACCAGAAAGTAGATAAACGTTGAGGTTGACAATCTCGAACTGTTGAAGTCTGTAGAAGCTTGCAGGTTTGTTAATGATGAATATAAAATAGGTTTTTAATACTTTACAGTCAAATCAGAGGGCCAGTGAGAGAGAGTGGTTGAGTGAGTGAATGAGTGGTTGAGTGGGTGGGTGGGTGGCTGAGTAAAAAGAAATAAAATAAAAAAGTAAAATAAAATGAAAAAAAGTAAAAATATAAAATTAATAATCAAATCAGAGGGCCGGTGAGGAAGCTTTTTATCTCCAACCTGTGAAATTATCATTGTTTTCATTGTAAAAGTACTTTTAACCACATTGAAAAACATAACGATGATAAAGAAAAATCCTTCATCATAACACAGCCACTCTTAGCATTTGGTGTATTTTCTCTAAGAACTTTTCCCCCCACTCATATTTATTTTATAATGTTGTGATCATATAGCATGAACGTAGTTTTGGATCCTGTCATTTCTCTTTTATAAGCATTTCTCATATTTCTATATAAGCTTCATAACCAACTTAACATGCCAAAAATTACATTAAGTGGACATATGAAATATACTGCATTAATTCCCTATTCCTGATTATATTCATTAATTCCCTATTGGACATAACTTATTTCCTTCTCTTTTTTACCATCATAAAGAAATTGTAGAACATCTTCATGAACGTTTATTTTTTAAGATAGATACCCAGAAATTGAATTACTAGGTAAAAGAGTATCAACATTTTTTTAAACAACTCCTGACATATAAAACACTTTTATAGTTATTAATACAAATGATTTTTAAAAGGTTGCGTTTACATAGTAGATAAGGCTGAGACCAGATGCAGGGGCTTACAGAGTGGGTGCAGGTATTGAAATAAACAATCCTCAGTTAGCTAACTAGGCTACTAGGCTAGGAGCTGGATGCAAGGACATCAGTGTGGGTACAGGTGGTAAAGTCTAACTAAGGGGCAGGGGATTAATAACCACAGACAAGGACTGGCTTCAACTGACTTGTCAGCTATCTGGGTTACCTATATGAACTGTGGCTAATTACGATGTCATTTGCATTGTGGTTTTAAAATTTCTTCACCCTTGAAATCGCCATGACAGTTCCAAAACAACTATATAAAACATGAAAATGGGAGGGAACCCAATTCTAGGAATTACTACCCAAATTCTTAATAAAAGCCAACTCCTTAGCCTGAATATTCCTCCCTTCAATTAGCAAGACTTCATAAGACCAAAAACCAGTGCAGTTGCACTTTTCCAGCCTGCCTGTTCCCTCTCTCTTGAGAGACTGTACTTTCACTTTTGCCCTCAATAAAAGATGCTTGCTTTGGCCTAAGTGCTGTGTCCTGAATTCTTGTCTTCTGATAATCACCAACCTGAAAGAACCGCCACTCAGAGGACAGTAACAGTTGTACTAAGTTACACTTAAATCAGCAACTTTGATTTTAGCTAGTCCTTTAAAAAAGTAATTTTTACTTTTCCACTTCAATGCTATAGGAAAATAAATAAATAAAGTAGTTTTGTCCAATTATAAAACTCATAAAATATATGTGTAAAATCTTAAACATCAAAAAGTAAAAAGAACATGAAAAGATAATTTTAAAAAATAACCCAGGCCAGGGGCTATGGCTCATGTGTGTAATCCTAGCGCTCTGGGAGGCCAAGGTGGGAGCATCACTTGATATGTTTACTGCAGTTTGTTAATATCCAACATTTATTGCATTTGCAATATATAATCCAGACATTATGCTAAGTACTTCACATATATTGTTTAATTTGATCAGTAAAACACCTCTATGAGGTGTTGTTATTTCAGATAAGGAAACTGAGGCTTGACGAGTTAAGCCAGTTGATCAAGGTTGCACAGCGAGTATAGAGCCAAACTTAGCAAAAATTCCAGAGTCCTAGCCGGGCACGGTGGCTCACGCCTGTAATCCTAGCACTTTGGGAGGCTGAGGCGGGCGGATTGCTCAAGGTCAGGAGTTCGAAACCAGCCTGAGCAAGAGCAAGACCCTGTCTCTACTATAAATAGAAAGAAATTAATTGGCCAACTAATATATATATATATATAAATTAGCCGGGCATGGTGGCGCATGCCTGTAGTCCCAGCTACTTGGGAGGCTGAGGCAGCAGGATTGCTTGAGCCCAGGAGTTTGAGGTTGCTGTGAGCTAGGCTGACACCACGGCACTCACTCTAGCCTGGGCAACAAGCGAGACTCTGTCTCAAAAAAAAAAAAAAAAATTCCAGAGTCCTTATCATGCCACTATATTGTTATTGGGAGTTTCAGATGAGTCAGACATTTAAACTGCAAAGCACTACACAGACATCATCGAACTGAAATGACAATGGTTTTCATGTGGATAGCATGTCTTCATTGTCCTTCATGGATTCTGATAGCTTACTCCTAGCAGAATCCATGTGGTCGAGTGCAGTGCTTCTCAAACTGTGTAGTTTTTTGTTGCTGTTGTTGTTCTGTTTTCAAATAGTTAATACATAGTGAGGCCAGGCATGATGGTTCACACCTGTAATCCCAGCACATTGGGAGGTTGAGATGGGAGGATTGCTTGAGGCCGGGAGTTCAAGACCAGCCTAGGCAACATAGCAAGACTCTGTCTCTACATAAAATTAAAAAATTATCCATGCTTGGTGGCACATGCCTGTAGTCCCAGCTACTTTGGAGGCTGAGGCAGAGGCAGGGAGGAATACTTGAGCCCAGGAGTTTGAGGCTACAGAGAGCTATAATCAGGCCACTACACTCCGACTTGGGTGACAGAGTGAGACTCTGTCTCTTAAAAAAAAATAAAATAAGGCCGGGCGTGGTGGCTCACGCCTGTAATCCTAGCTCTCTGGGAGGCCGAGGCGGGCGGATTGCTCGAGGTCGGGAGTTCGAAACCAGCCTGAGCAAGAGCGAGACCCCGTCTCTACTATAAATAGAAAGAAACTAATTGGCCAACTAATATATATAGAAAAAATTAGCCGGGCATTGTGGCACATGCCTGTAGTCCCAGCTACTTGGGAGGCTGAGACAGAAGGATCGCTTGAGCCCAGGAGTTTGAGGTTGCTGTGAGCTAGGCTGACGCCATGGCACTCACTCTAGCCTAGGCAACAAAGCAAGACTCTGTCTCAAAAAAAATAAAAATAAAAAATAAAAAATAAAAAAATAAATAAAATAAAATAATATATTGTATACTAATTATTTTGTAAAACATAATAAAACTGAATAAAACCACTATAAAATAAAATTAATTTTGAAAAACAAAATAAAAGCTCAAATTATTTATTATTAAAGTCAACAGACATAAAATTACTTTGTGAAATTGCTAGTAAAGTTTCTAAACTCTTACACTTGATTTCTGTTCCTGTCTCAGAATGGCCAGTGGATCACACTTTGAACAGCATTGTTCTAGGAGAAAGAAGAGCTAGGAGGCCCTGAAACCATGTTAGGCGAGTCCTTTCCTAGATTCTGGCTCTCCATTTTCGTAATGGGAATGATCCCCTGGAAACAAAGCCAGTAGAAGAGCCAGTGCAGTACATGAGGCCACAGGCTCCGTGACAGGTCCTCAGGAGGGAGCTTCCCAGGTGGGCATGGGATGGCACAGTGAGACCATGGGACTGATAGAAGGTGAAGAGGAACAAGACCGAGGTGGCATAGCAGCAGAAAAGGTCTAACTGTATATATATATATATATATATATATATATATATATCATATAACTTTGGTTATTTCATCAATGAGCAAAATAATGGTGTCTCAAGCCAGCAAACTTCACTGTATTAAATTAAAACCCAGTGCAATGGGCTTCTCTTGTATAAACTTGGTTTCATGACTGCTCTCTGCTTAAGAAAAAATCCAGAATCTATCACTTATTCCTTAATAAGCCTACTCCTACCCCTAAAGGAAAAAACACCCACTGCTGTGGTTTGAATGTGTCCCCCAGAGTTCATATGTTGGAAACTCCAACCCCAATGCACCAGTGTTAAGAAGTGGAACCTAGGCTGGACAGCAGTGGCTGTAATCCTAGCACTCTGGGAGGCCGAGGTGGGAGGATTGCTTGAGGTCAGGAGTTGGAGACCAACCTGAACAAGAGGGAGACCCCGTATCTACAAAAAATAAAAATTAGCTGGGCGTGGTAGCACACAACTATAGTCCCAACTACTCAGGAAGCTGAGATGGGAGGATGTCTGGAGCCCAGAAGTTTGAGGTTGTAGTGTGCTATGATCACACCACTGCACTCTAACCTGGGTGACAGATCCTGTCTAAAAAAATATATATATATTTAAAAAAATAAAGCAAGTTTGTCATCTATTGCTTTTGCTCTATCACATGTTTTCTGGCCCTCCACCTTCCACCATGGGGTGACACAATAAGAAGGCCCTCACCAGTTCTGGGCCCCTCAACCTTGGACTTCCCTGCCTCCAGCACTGTGAGAAATAAATCTCTGTTCTTTATGAACTACCCAGTCTCAGGTATTCTGTTATGGCAGCACAGAACAGACTAGGACAGCCATTTCTCC